CCCTCTCATTCACTCCCCGCTGTGCCCCATGAGGCAGGGCCTCAGCCCTCAGTGACCAGGGAGCAGGTCTTAAGTTCCAGCGCCATCAGCCTGGGGGACTGTGGGCTGTGCTGGGGTCAAGCTCCCAGACCTACCACCCCTGTGCCCATTGTCCCGGGCCGTCTTACCCTGAGCGGGCAAGATCTGAGACGCTCAGCAAGCGCGTGTTGACTCAGGTACTCTCTCCTCGTGATGTGGGTGGACGGGCAAACGAGGCTGACGGGCAGGGTGGCTGCTGGGCCTCCCGGGTTGGAGGCAGCGTGAGATGAGCACTGAACCGGGAGCCAAGATGACTCCATCCAGCCTCGGCTGCCGGTGGAGGGTGGGACACTCTCTGAGACTCCTGCAGCCTCGCAATCATGGAGTCTATGAATCATGTGAGAGCAAGTTTTGGAAGAGACCTGTGTTTGAAAGCTGGGACTTTGACGGTTGCCGATGTCTGTTTCCGTGGAAACGGCGCTCAGAATCGGAGGCTGAGCCTGTGAGCTCTGCTCTGGGTGCCCCAGATAGCGGGAGGGGGAGAGGCGCACTTCACCTCCTTCATCACCGGTCCCCGGAGTCCCCTCAGCCTCACCCTGGGTGATCCCCGGGGGAGAGATGGCTAGAAAGGAGGCTGTGAACTCAGAGCTCCCAGGGACATAACTCACATTTACTGAGCGCTCACTGGGTGCCCCACCCCAGCACTGTGTCCGGCACAGGGAAGGAATAGAATGAATGATTCAGATGAAGAAACCTTGTGATCTCCATGACACTCATCCTCGGGGTAGACTTCTATCCCAACGCGGGTCCTTCTTTCACTCGACACGCATGTAAGCCCGAGATAAACAGGAAACAGCCCTTGGCTTCCCTCAGGATCCACGAGTGCCCAAGCTCGGCCCTGAGGGCACAGGCGTTCAAAAAAATCAGCATGGCGGGTCTGAGAAGCCCCCTGGTCCCCGTCGCCTTTCACCATGCCCCTGCCATGTCCCTGCCATGTCCCTGCCATGTCCCATGTGCCACCCCCTGAACCGGCCGTGGCGCTCTAACATGCTGGCTGTCCCATGCCTCACGCTGCAGCCTTCCTAGGGATCCCTTTACTACTGCTGATGTGCCTACAAACTCCTGCTCAGCCTTCAAAGCCCAACTCCAAGCTTGCTTCCTCTGCAAAGCCCCCTCCCCTGGACTGTGAGTGTCTCCAGGGCACAGGCTGACTCTCCTAGACTCTGTGTTCCCAGAATGAGGTAAAGTCATCATCTTTCCACCTTCCCACCTTCTCAGGGACTTGGTTTTAACTGGCGAGGTATTGATGTGGTGGACGCAGATGGAGAGACTAGGAGTTAGATGGGGACACATAATGAGTCCAGTTCTGGACACATGGACTTTGAGGCACCTGAAGGCTGTCCAGATGGGAATGCCTTGTAACTAAACATACGGGGGACGGGTGCTGAGAAAAAGATCTGAGCCAGCGGGATGGATTCAGAAGTCATCATGGAGGTTCAGGTGTGGTCAGTGCCAAGTGTGGAGCTGCACTTGCCCAAACAGAAAGAGAAGGTCAAAGACAGAGCCCAAGAGAAGCCCATTCGTGGTAGCTTGTATTACTATTCAGCAAATATCCACCCCTTTCTGTGGGAAGTGCACACTTCCCTGCCCCGCTGACGTTGGGGCTGGCGTGTGACTTGGAGCCGATGTGACGCTTGCATGGCCTGGCTTGGCCTCTGGTGCGCTTCGCATCCACTCTGAAAACAACATGCCCGGCAGCCTCTGCCCTGCAGCCTGGGCCCTGGCGAGGGACACACACAGCTACTAGAGCTGCTCCCTGCAGCAGAGCCTCCCAGTTGACTACAGACCTGTGAGTAAGAAAGAAATGACTTTTAGCCCTAGCCGGTTTGGCTCAGTGGTTAGAGCATCGGCCAGTGGACTGAAGGGTCCTGGGTTCGATTCTGACCAAGAGCATGTACCTCGGTGGCAGGCTGGATCCCCCGTTGGGGGATGTGTGGGAGGTAACCAATCGATTTGTCTCTCTCACATCCATGTTTCTCTCTCTCTCTTTCTCTCCCTTCCTCCCTCCCTCCCCCCCTTCCACTCTCTGAAAAGCAATGGAGAAAATATCATAAGCCACTGAGATTTAGGGGCTGTTTGTTATGTAACCTGGTATCAGCAATAGCTTGACTAATAAAATTGTAGGAGGGGGCTGGGGTAAAAAGAATCCCTTAACAGACAACAGGAAGAACAGTCAGAGGGGAAGGAAGGACATCAGGAGGGCGCAGAGTCCCTGCAACGGTGAAGGAGAGGGTTGTAGGAGCATCCTGACCTCTGCACCACACCCAAATGTCTTCTTTTTTACAGGTGATGCTGGGTCACCTTACTTCCATCAGGGCTGGAATCTAAATTCTAGATGTTGATGACCCCAAGCTATAGCTTCATGCTAGGTTTCTCTCTGGAGCTCCAGACTTAACTCCCACCTGCCTCCTGGGTATACCTGCCTGGGAGTCATCTTCTCTACCCTGACATACTATCAGTTACCAAGCCCAGGAAATGCTCACCCATCTACCCTCCCAGGCACTTCTCACCACTCCGCTGCTGGCCCCTTCCCTGCCCTCCAGGCTTGCGTCTTTCACAATGGCTCCCAGAGCACTCTTTTCGAAATACAAACCGGTTGTCCCCTGGTTAAAGCCCCTGCCTGTAGGACAAAGACCAAACTTCTTAGAATGACACTCAAGGCCCTGACTGGTCCAGTCTCAGTTGAATAAATTAATGAATGCACCCTTCTGCCTGAGACCTATTCCACGCTTAACCCCCTCCCCCACTCCCACTCAGCTTAGATTTGGCGTCCTCGGGTCAGCTTTCCCTGCCCACCTCTCACTTCATCCCACTCCACCCACACTGGGCTAGTTCAAATGTCTCTCTCCTTTTAGGCACCCCTTTTGAAGCCCCATTACATCCTCTGTTGGACCCCTCTTGTGCCTTGTCTCATAGCTCTCAGCCCAGTGTTTTTTCCTTTATTTTTCCTTTTATTTTATTTATTTTATTGTGGTTAAATATACATAACATATATTTTACCATCTTAATCATTTTAAGTGTACAGTTTAGTGGCATTAAGTATAATCACATTGTTGTGTAGCCATCATCACGGCCATCTCCAGAACTTCTTCATCTTTCCAAACTGAAACTTTGTATCCATTAAACAAACNAATATACATAACATATATTTTACCATCTTAATCATTTTAAGTGTACAGTTAGTGGCATTAAGTATAATCACATTGTTGTGCAGCCATCATCACGGCCATCTCCAGAACTTTTTCATCTTTCCAAACTGAAACTTTGTATCCATTAAACAAACTCCCCATTTCCCCTGGCCCTAGCCCAAGGCAACCACCATTGTAGTTTCCAGCTCTATGAACTTGATTACTTTACATGCCTCATATGAGTGGACTCATACAATATTTGTACGTTTTTAAAAAATATTTTTTATTGATTTTTAGAGAGAGAGGAAGGAGAGGAGGAGAGAGAAACATCGATGTGAAAGAAAACATCAATTGGCTGCCTCCCATACTCGCCCCAACCGGGGATTGAACTTGTAACCTAGGTATGTGCCCTGACCAGGAATCGAAGCAGCCACCTTTTGGTGATTGGGACACGCTCCAATCAACTGAGCTACCCTGCCAGGGCTGCATACCTTTTTCAAGGCTGAATAATATTCCATTGTGTGGCTATCTGCATTTTGTTTTCCATTCATCTGTCAATGAGTAATGCTGCTAGNATTCCATTGTGTGGCTATCTGCATTTTGTTTTCCATTCATCTGTCAATGAACATTTGGATTGTTTCCATATTCTGACTACTGTGAGTAATGCTGCTATAATTACTGGTGTACAAGTATCTGTTTTAGTGCCTGCTTTCAACTATTTTGTGTATATTCCACCTAGAGGTGGAACTGGTGAATCACATAGTAATTCTGTGTTTAATTTTTTGAGATATTATACTGTTTTCCATAGCGGCTGCCCATTTGACATTCCCACCAATAGTGCACAAGAGCTCCAGCTTCTCCATATGCTTTCCAACACTTACTTTCTCTCTCTCTCCCCCACACACTCTCTTTCATTTCTATAATAGCCATGACAATGGGTGTGAAAGTGGTCAGCCCACTTTGACTCCAGCAATTGTTACAGTAATCCGATTCCCTCAGTGTTGCCCAGCGGCACCTCCCCTCAGCTATGCCAGGAAGCTCTTGTTTTCTGCTCTGGGTTTTCCCTAGTACCGTGGCAAGGGACACCTGCAGAACCACTGGGCATTGTGCTCCTGCCATAAGGACTACCTATCAATAACTCCAGTTGGCAGGGCTCCTCCCTTCTGCACAGACTTCCTTTCCTGGCTGGGTAGCTCAGTTGGTTAGAGCGTCGTCCTGATAAGCCAAGGTTATGAGCTTGATGTTTAACTCTCTCACATCCTTTAGAACTCAAATCTCACCTCCACAGAGAAGCCCTCCCTGATCACCAGCCCCTCGTCCATGGGACCAGATTCACTGTTACTTGTTCTCACAGCATCCTCTGCTTGGCAGTTTGTAATGACATATTTATCTGTGTGCCTACTGAAGTAACCCTTGTTTTTCCCGCTGCGATCGTCTCGTTCATTATTGCACTCTCAGCACCTATGATGCCCAGCCCATACCAGAAAGCCTTTGTTAAATGAATTCTTTATTCAACATTTAACACATTTTCATTGAATACGTGTTCTAAAAGTGGGGATAAAACTCCCGCAGTGCTTAAATTCTAATGAGGGAAATAGGTAAGAAAAAAATAAGCAAACATAATATGTCAGGTGGTGATTGTTGCTATGGAGAAAAACAGAACAGGATAAGGGGGGCAGATGCCATTCCATAGAGGTTCATTAGGGGAGGGGCTCTGGCGATGTTTGATCAGGGACCTGGAGGAAGTGAGGAAATGAGTGAAGCTGAGAGAGTGTTCCAGGCAGAGAGAACGGCATGAGCAAACGGGTGGCAGGTGAGGGAAACGCAAGGAGGAGCAAAGAGGAGCTGCACCCCTGCACGGAGGCCGGGAGAGTAAACTCAAGGCCAGTACACTCTGCAGAGGAGGTGGGGGAGGTGCAGCAGGAACCTGGAAGGATGACAGCATCAGCTTCCTCTCTCCTACCCCTGGCAGGCCCTTGCCTTGTATTTTCTTATACTTCCTACCATCCCAGGCTCAGGGCTCAGCACGTAGTGGGTGCTTTCTAGGTAGAACTAAACCCATTCAAGAAAATGCCTAAAACCACTTTGCTATGACAAGTTGGCTCAGGATAGGCAGAAGACATTTCAATACACATTTGATTTTAAACTTAAATCCACTACCTTCCTCCTTAGCACCTCTTTGTTTGCTGGCTCTGCTATGCCAATCACATCAGGAGTAAGAACTTTTTTCAATTTACAAAATGTTTCCCCAATTACTATCTCTGCTAAGCCTCTGGACAGCCTTCAAAGCAGCAACGCTCCATTGTCCAGAGCCGTTCAGAAGCTGAGGTGGGCCGGCAGGAACCCGCAGCCCAGCAGGCAGCTCCCTATCAGTGCCTGCGCCTCATCTTCCCGTCTGCCTCTGATACAGGTGTTAAGGTCCTCCTTTCACAGATAGGCTCAGAGAGGGGACGTCCCCTGCCCGAAGTCCACCAGCCAGCGCCTAAGCCAGGTTGAAGCCAGGTCTCTGGGTGCTGGATTTTGCATTCTCCCCCATGGAGGCCCCATCCCCTTGGGGGAACTTCTGCTAAAACCAGGCTGACCAGCCTGGGCTCAAGCCTCCCTTGGGAGAGCAGCCCAAGGTTTTGACCAGAGTCGTCTCCAGGAAATTCTAGAACCCAGTGTGCTGTGGGCAGGAGGGGGATGGGCTGCACCCTCTGTGTCCATTTGAACAGCCCCTCAGGGGAGACCCATCCTCCCAGCAGCTGTGAGGAATACTGACCTACAGCCGGAACCTCAGAGAGGATCCCCTAGCATCCTTGGCAGGCATAGCTTCTTGGGTTGAGCCTATGGGCTTGAAGTCCCTCTCCTTTAACTGCCACCTGGAGGCCTGGCTGCCAACCCACCCCCCTGCCAACCAGATCCCAGAACCCAGGATTTCTGCCCGCCAGTTTCTGACAGCTGAGAGAAAGCCTGGCCATTCTTAGCCTAAACTTGGAATTTACCTCTCTCCCTTCTCTCCCACCTCCCCTGCCTGTCTCTTCACATTCTAGCCCGTTACTCACTTCTTCTGTTCCTTTCACCACAGTTGCTGGGGACTGGAGGGCCACAGGTGAATGGCTATCGTTCCCTGGCCAGGAGGAGCTCCCAGTTCATGGGGGAAATGCGAACATGACCACACCCATGCAGTGTTGTCAACAGCAATCAGAGGTGGTGGGGGAGGCACTGGGGCGCCCAGGGGACACCTGGCCCAGGCTGGGAGCTCAGAGAGGCCTTCCTGTAAAGGCTTTTTAGGGAAGGTGCTACCTGTCCAGGCTGGATTTTAGAAGAATCAGTAGGAGTCTGTTACAGGAAGAGGTTTTTGGGCAGAGGATTTCACAATAGTGTAAGCTCTACAGGGTAAGAAATTTTGTTTGGTTTATTACCCCAGTGCCTATAACTGTGCTTGGTACATAGTAGATGCTCAATAAACATAGGTTAAAAGAAATAAAGAAAACAAAGGAAGGGAAGGAAGGAGAGAAAGAGAAAGGGAGGGGGTCAGAGAGAGAGAGGGAGAGAGAGATATCTTAAGAATGCAGGAGTCTAGGGTGGATGTGTGAAACCCCTTGGTGCATTCTGGGAAGGGAAAGTACAGTAGTTCTAGGTGGCCAGTAGCTTAGTTGGGTGGGGCTGGGGGCACTGACCTTATCTAACCTATTATAGGTGGTGTCCATTTCTTATCTCCCCACTGGGCTCAGAGCTACTGTGAGGATTGGGACCATTTTTCCTCTTATGGTCCCTATAGCCCCTGGTGCCTACGCTGAATGTTAATATGCACAGAGGTATTAAACCTGTGCTGGGTGCTGGAGACACAGGGATGACTCAGAATTAGTCTTCCTACCCCCCACCCCCCAGTCTGGCTGGGGAGACAGACAGTAAACAAATGGCTACAACAATAGGCAGAATGAACGGGAGCTACTATGTAGCTTCAAACAAAATGAGACCAAGCAGAGGGATGGAGGGATGGATTTTGCTTAAGGAATGAAAAGCTGGTGGGGGGGGCGGGCTATTGTGGGGTTGTGGAAGAGATGGCATTGGGGGGGATGTTGCTTTAAGGAACAGAATGGTCAAAGAAGGAGATTGAGGTGGGAGGCACTCCAAGGAGAGAAACCAGGCCCAAAGATGTGGTCCAGGGAGGTGGGAACTGGGGGAAAGAGTGGGTGAGATAGTTTGGGGTTTTGAATACTGTTCTTGGGTGCTTGGGCTTGCTTCTTATGTGACTGCATTTTGGATCCTAGTGCCAGCAGCTGCACACTTTGTTGGGCTGCTGACCTTCTCTCCAGCAGGCTGGGGCTCCCTGCTCTCCCTGGCTGGGCCCTCCCATTGTCTCTTTTAGTTCCACCAGGAACCGACTGATGTAGGGCCTCATTTTGTGTCAAGCCTCAGCAAAGGGACAGAGTGCCTGGCACAGGTTCCCCCAAAAGCTACCCTTCTCTTCTAGCCACACAAGCTTTGGAAGGAGGTGCTAGTCGTTTTTTATTTTTTAGGGTAGGGGTGGGGAAAGAAAACTATAGAAGGGAAATCAGCATCGTAGAACATTAGAGATTAGAGATAGTAACGATCTTTTAACCCCCCTTTCCCATTTGACAGATGAAGAAAATGATGCACAAACAGATATGCCTGTGCTGCAGCCCTAACGTTGACAGGCCATGGCCAATTTGGTAGTGCCCACGATTAGAAGGGCAGTGTTTTCCTTTAGCCAGGACCTAACCAATACTCATCATTTGTGGGCCTTGCAGACCCAGGATGAGTCAGGTTTCTTGTGAGTCAAGTCTGTTGACAAGCCATCCCTGGCCATTCCTAGCCCATCAAAAATAGAAGTCCAGGGGAAGGGTATGAGCAGGCCAATTTAATTAGTGTGGGCTCTCAGGTACCTTAAGTTAGCCCTATTAAATTAAACGGCCTAAGGGAAAAAATAACTGTAATTATTTCCTTCTCTCCCCTATAGTTGTATGTCAACTCCCTCCCAACCTTCATGATTCCCTCATTCACAAAACAACCTTTAAACTAGGGGCTAAGCAGAGTCAACCATAGACTAAGGTTCCGTGTTTCCCTTTTTCTGTCCTCTCCTCCTGAGAGCTCCAGGTCCCTGCAGAGAACAGAGTGCCTCCAGAGGCGTCCCTAGGGCCTGGCTGTATTCTAATTTAGGGAGGCTGTTACATTGAGTAGAACATTATTCCAAAAATGCACCCAGCCTCTCCTTCCTGAACCAATGCAGATCTGTTTGCTGCGGGGCATTTCTTTTAAAAGCCCCTCTTCTCTCTTCTACAGGTCAAAATAAGCAAACTTTAATGGTAGAGAATTATTCTTTATTTTGTTGAAATCTAGTTCTGAGTTTTCCTACTCGAAACGTGTTTTCCCCAGGACACTGACCTATCCTTTAATTGTTTGGAGCTAGGCATGTTAGGGGGAGGGGCGTTACTTGTTTATTGGAACAGCGCAGTTAAAAAAAAAAAAAATCAACCTAGGCTAACAGTTTCAAGGCTCCCCTAAAGATGTATCCAAACAGGCAGCCAATCAGCGCTTACACAGCTTTTTCTGCTTGACTCTTTTAAAGAGACAGTGCCGACAGTGTTTTATCACATTTAAAGAGAACCGCGCTCTAAAAACATTCAGAAAATGGGGGAGTCCTCCCTGTTTCGCTGGTTTCTCGTCTTAAGAGTCTCTAATGAAGGACTCACAGTGTGTCCTCGGGGTTCTCTGTGTGGGCAGAAAGGAGTTAGCAGCAAATAGCTGGGTCACTCTGCCATCCTCCCCTCAATTTCCCATTGTACACCTGGGTCACTGACAATGGAAGCTTCCCCTCCCCCCATGCCTGACTTTCGTCACCCACTCCCCAATTTAGCTCCATTTATTTGAAGTTTGCAGATTTCTGTGGCGCGCATTCTGCGTCGCTGGGCGCCCAGGTGACGCCCCCGCTACCCTGGAATGCCACTGTCTCCCCAAACCAAGGGGCTAACTTGCCAGTGCTGGCCGAGCTTATAAATTAGGGGGCAATCACTCTCCCTTACCTTAGCCCAAGTCCCTCGTTCCCTCCCTCAGGCTTCCCAAAGCAAGCCAAGGGCCATTTTCGCGCGGCTCCACTTTGGGGCTTTCCAAAGTATTTTAATGATCTAGTAAAGGAAAAGGCGCGCGACTCGGCGCCGGCTCGAGCTGCCCAGCTCGCAGCGTGGAGCCCCCGGCCGGGCGCTCGGAAACCAGACGGGGAGAGGGTGGACGGGGGCGGGGCTGCCGGGGGTCCGGATTGTAGTCTGAGAAGGTGGTCGGGGTGGGAGCCCAGGGGGAGCCCAGGCGAAGGGGAGGGGGAGATAAGGGTAGGGCTGCCGCCGGCCTCCGCTGGGGGAGGTGAGGGGCAGATAAGAGAGAGGGACGTGGCGGGAGGGAGCGGGCGGTGCGGG